GTGAAATTGTTTAACACAAATCTTCATACGTTGGTCTTAATTTAATCAGCTATCTATTCCATGGTTTCCTAATTGTCCTCACCACAGTGATAAAATCAGATGATTATACCTTAACTTGGAACCAGGCGTCCTGGGTGCACAGGCGAATGTCGCAGGCTGTAATCATGTCAACACCTGCCAGAGAAAACACCACCTACGGTTAACTCACCGAAGCTCCTTTCTCCACCAAACTCAATGCGTCAAACACCTCCACAACCAAGAAGCCTGTATCACAGCCTGTGGGTTTCCCTGGCTCCTGCTAGCATCATGTCCATGCAGTAAACTAACCAGTTATATATCAAAGCTTGAAAACATAGTATTTTCAAATGTCTTGTTGTCTTCTAGGGTCAAGTCGAAAGCAGCCATGGGGTAGAGGGGCATATGTATAGTTTCAGCCACCGCCTTCAGAACACAGCAAATCTCCTTGGGGAGATATTTCAATTAAAATTCATCCATACCACAAACACGTTGGACTGGTCCAGCTGAATGACTCAATTAGGAATTTTAGGGGATTTGAAGCTTTTCACACAGTGGCTACAGCTTCTTATATCTGCACACTTCTCAAAGCATCATCCTCCTAACTTCAAGTGTTAAAATGCATAAACAAAGGCTTAAAAAACAAACGAACATTTATTTATTTCTTCTTGGCTGTAAATGTGTTTATTTCTGCTGTAAAGTTGGTCATTTTAACACGAGACTCTTTGGGAATTCACTCCCTTTTGCAGCCAGACTCAAGCAGACATTCGAGGAACTTTAGTGTTTTTCCAACTCCTGTACCTTAAGATGATTCACTACAGCACTGTAATCTTTACAATGTCCTACCTGCTCCTACACAGGCTCCATGGATGGCCACCACAACAGGCTTCGGGCACTGCGAGAACACAATTCAAGAGGAAACGTACTTTAATGATAGTGAGGGAGAATTTGTAAGGAAGGGAAGCTTGGTGCACGCTGGGTCCTACTGCTCTTACACTACAGACATTAACAGTGTGACAGTGTATCTTGTATTGAGTTCTTACTGTGTTGTTTCATGCAGGTCACACAGATGAGCAATGCCAATGGAAAAAAATATAATTTCATTACAAAAACTGGAATTTTAAAGACAAAATAACCATAAAATAAATCCTATGTTTGTAACTTCTAATCCGTCCTAAGGCTTTCTTTGGCTGAAGTAAAATTTCCACCATTCATCATTTATCCAATTCATAGCCAGGGTTGGTGGGGGGATTAAGTCTATCCCAGCTGACCCATGGTAAAAACTGATGACTGAAATTTAAAAGATAGCAATACAACAGTGGACATGAATGCAAAATGAGCTTTCATGAACCCTAATATTGATAATATAACTTATCTTGATTTAGAGAGGCAACATCTGAGCAAGAAGCACAGTTCAGGAACCTTCCTGATAAAATCTGATAATTCAGTCACACCTCATGTTTGTGACTGGTTCAGTCTTCTCACTCTTTACATTAATAATGCGCTCTGACCTTCTCTATGACGGAGAAGGTCTCTTGGAATTTCCTAATCTTTTTTTTTAACGCCCAGGAGATTCTGGCTGTGTCGTCTCCTTCTGGTTGAAGTACATTGTTCATCATGTCCATGAGATCGATACCTGCGCATTAACACAGATGAGATTTTACACACTGATTATACTCCACTGAGAGAAGAGAACAGAGGTTTTAATATTCTGTATACCCACCAGCTGTGAAGAGCTTCCCTGCTCCAGAAACTACCACTGCTCTGCACTCAGGGTCCTCAGAGAGCTCATTAAAGCAGGTCACCATCTCACTGGCAGAGAAACACAAGTTCAGATCAGTGTTCACCCAAATAATAATTTAGCTTTTAATTCCAGTGATTAGTTTGACTTTTTGAGCTCTTTTATGTCTGATAATTTAACACTTTTAGAGTTCCATGTATTAGCATTATATTTTTTATTCACACTAAATGATGCAATATTGATTCTCAACGATTCACGAAATAGTAATAGTCTGAATATTGTGTTCACTTGTTAGTAGTGAGTGACTGTATTTATTTAAACTCTTGTATGTGCTTCTCTCCTGATCAGAGGACTGAATACGTTTGGGAGCTAGCCTACTTGAAGAATATGGACAATATGGACTTTCTAACTGAATATAAACTGTGAGACAGGTTCCAGCATCCAGGTATAATATATAGCATGTGTCATGCCTCTGACACTGTGTAAAATATGTATACATGTAATTCTGATTCCTGCCTCCAGAAAGCACTGTTCATGGCATTGCGTTTCTCAGGCCGGTGAAGTTCAACATGCGTGATGGACTCTGTAGGACGACTGATGGCCAGGGTTGTGTACGGAGGGGTGGCACCACCTGAAGATGACATGGCTCTGGCCACAGTTTGACTAGGCAACCGCAACCCCTTATCTAAGAAGAAAAAACAGAACAATATTAGACTGTGGCCGAGAAGCAAGAGTAGTGAAAGCTACAAGGCTACAATGGACTATTCATAGGCCTTTTCTCATCTTTACCATTTTGTATCTTACTTACATTCAAGGCCTCAACTCACCTGTACACCTCAGTATTGGTTCAGTCTACAGTGTTCTCAAGCCAGTATTTTAGACCACAGACACACACACCGAATAAACAACAAATAAACAAAACAAGGGTATGCACAACATTGTCATCAGTGCCACAACTGACTGAAGTTGGCATGGATGTCCAGCCTTGGATGTCCATGAGATGACCACTGGTGATCTGAGTCGACATAGTGACACCCTGTGACTGTTTCAGCACAACAATGTCTGCACAGTCCAGCCAAGCATTTAGTCCCAGTACACCTGGCTGTGAAAATGTCTGGGACATGCTAAGTCGATGTGTTCAACACAAGCAGCCACAGTGACCATTTCACAGCTGCAGGCTGCACTTGTCCAGGAATGGAGAGCAATCAGGGCACTTGATTATTCCGTGTACAGACTTCAGAGGAGACCACAACTCATTATTTGTAGATATGGTAAATGGACTGGTTTTATATAGCACTTTTCTACTCTGAGCACTGATTTGAACATTCTTCTTCTTCTTCTTCTATGTAAGTGCTTTCTTTGCACACATTCATACCTTGACAGACACATCAAAGATCAACCTGGGCTTAGTATCTTGCCCAAGAATATTTGGTATATATTCTGAGTGTGTCCATCCCTGTATGACCACAGTGTACCCATCCATGTTGCATGTTTCCAGCACCTTGCTGAATCTGTGACATGAAGAATTAAGGTAGTTCTGAAGGCAAAAGGGGTCCAACCTGCACAAGGAACCTAATAAAGTGGCTGGTGAGTGTAAATAAAGGAAAAAGTAAATATATGATAAACAAAATTAAAACAAATATCTAATGGAGTCATAAATCACCACAACTCTAATTTAATCACTAAAATAGTAATTGTGTTTAAGAAAGTGAGCAGTCCACCACTATTGATCCATGTTTTTCCACAGTTAGTCTTTTCCCCTCACTTCTAACTCCTCAAATGCAGCTTTTGTTTGAAGAAAAAAAAAAAGCATATTTATACGCAATTAAACTATATGCAGCCAGATGGACTACTCTCCACCGCTCATTCTTGCTGCTTGTCAGGTTGTGTTCAGTGGAAACACCCCTGTACTTTAATTGCAGGGTGTTGTCTGTCGGTATAAGGCCACACAGGCTTCATTTCCCCATTCATACAAAATACAGATGAAGTTACTGGAAACAGAGGAATAAGTAGCCGGGAGGAGACAATTATAAATAAAATAAGAACAGGTCATTGCTTTTTGAATGGCACACTTTTTAAGATAGTTAAACATCTAACTGTAGTTGGTGTAATGCTATGGAAATGACAGAACAAAGAAGTATATCAATCAAAGAAGACTCCGCGTCGGTCTTCTAAACAGCCGTTCACTGACAAATAAGGGGCCTCTCATCCAAGAGCTCCTATCTGACTGTAAGTTTGACTTTTTCTGTTTAACTGAAACCTGGCAACAACCTGATGACTTTTCTCAACTGAATGAATCCACTCCTCCGGGGTTTGTTTACTTTTCGAAACCTTGCTGCTCAGATTGTGGGGGTGGTCCCGCGATCATTTTTCGCCAGCACTTGAAAGTCCTGCCAGTTAATTTTGATCGATTTAGTTCTCTAGAGTG